CTAAACTGTGGCTGGCGTTTTTATCAATCTGGTAATCTGAAATTTGCATTTTTGCTTAATAGCTCTAAGCAGTTCTTAACTTGTCAAAGGAACGGGATAAATAACTGCGTTTCTGCCACTTGGGACTGAAAATATTACTTTTAGAAGAGATCATAACAAGACACTTTAACAATTCTGTGCTTTCATGTAGTTTTAATCCTCGCTTACGTTTATTTTAATTAACATCGGTCAAGTGCTAGCAATATAGTTTCATAAGACTCTATTCGATCTTTTATGTGCTGCTCTTGATAGGTGTGTAGAAAATAAGAGTTGCCCTTTAATGCAAAGAACGTGATAGGTTAATAGTTTATTTATTACATATTTCACCATTAAGCATTATACTGAAAGGGATGGGTGCCCCGTGGAGCACGTTTTAGGGAAAACTGCCTCATATCAAAGTTACACATCGAGGAAAATCACGAAAGCGCCTATGCAGCCACCAGCCTGTTCGCCAGGACCGAACTACCATTCTTCAGGCGGCTTTACAGCTGAGCCGCTGGTGGGCTTTAAGTTGACAGTTTGAAACCATTTTGGTACCTCAAACTGCAGCTTTTTCGCAGCGCACTCTGTTCTGTCTCGTATCCTTTTCAGGAAAAAGCATGTGGGTTTAGAAGAAAAGTAATTGATATTTTTCACATTGCAGTACTATTCTACATCAGAACGAAAGTCTTATTTTTTCTATTAAACGTAACGTTGGACGGAATTTAAACAAACGTTTAATTTGTAATATAAACGGAAGTTCTTCATATACGATCTGAAAATACCGACTGCGTTGTATAAAAGCATGAACCTGCGCGTCATAGTAGGACGGTTTCCTGAATACAAAATCCATATATTTGTACTTGCAGGTCTTGATTTTACCTGAAACTATTTTTATGCAGTCTGCGTAATTTGCTGTTGGCCATTTTAATTTTATTTTTGTTAGTGGAATGCAGTATAAATGCGTTATTTAGGAAAAATTGCATTCTGCGTTTAATTTTCATAAGTATGATTTACCTTTTCAGCAAGAGGCCCACCAGCGGCCGAGCGGTAAAGTCGCTGAACACTGGTAGTTCGGTCCGAGGTTCGAATCCCGCAAACGGGCTGGCTGCACGGGCGTTTTCGTGGTTTTCTCATGTGTAACGTGTATACGAGCCAGTTTCCTTTAGAAAGTCCTCCACGAAGGCATCCCTTCCCTTAGGCAGATAGCCCTAGTGTGCTTTGCCATAATTAAATAAACCAAACCAACCTTTTCAGCAAGAGCAAAATATTAGGAAACTGAACTTTGAATTAACTTTATTGATTGAATAGTGATGAGATATTTAGCTGTAATGAACTTGGTTCTAACTAGTTAAAAAAAAAATATCGAGAGTTCAGAAGATCGTAAAGAGTAGAATTTGCAGGGACGGAAAATATGTAGGGACCACGGATCTACATTTTCGTTGGTTTAATCGATAAACTTAACAAACTTAAGATGGATTTTTACTTTTTTCAATACTTGTGAAAACTCCGAAGAGAAGCTGTGAACTCGTGTCGTGTTTTGAGAAATTATCCATTAATGATGGCTCATTATTTTGTTCTAAACAGTTCAAGAACACAGTAACAGACGCCGCAGGATTTGTTGCTTAAACTCTTGGCTGTTTGCCACCGCTTTTAAAGGGTTTCAATTTAATTATCCGTGATTGTCATCATAATTGTACAGTGGCTTTCGAAAAATTTTCAAAATCTGGAGTGTGTGAAACCTACTGCTTTGCTAATTTTAAAATTATTTTCAAATTCGTTAATTATGGCAAAATGAGTGTTAAATATAAGACTTGGCTACCAGTTCTATAAAACTGCAACGTTCGTCTAATTTTGTGAGAGCAGCTGCTACTGCCATCTGTTGGCTACATTGTGAACTGATTCGAATGTATATTTTGTCTTGGCACAAATCTTAATTTGTGCCTAATCAAAATTTGATTTCATGTAGTGTTTCAAATGACTGGCTGCATTTTGAACTGATTCGAATATATATTTTGCCTAATCAAAATAAATTTTAATTTAATGTAGTTTTTAAATGACTAAGTCACTTACATAAAGAGTCGTAATAATGCATTATTCAACTTTGGCATAGCCTAGGGATGGCGGCCATTAGAATGCGAAATGGATTATTTGATGCATATCACTATAGATGAGGATACTTAATCTCCATCCTAATTTCTATCATGAGCTCCCAAGCCTTCTAATCTTTCCCCGACCATCCCCCTCTCGACATATTTTAATGACCTCTTGATTCAAAGTTTTGGAAATTAGATCTTGGTTTAAAAAAGTGAAATTGAATAGCAGTGAAATAATAGCAAATATTTGACCGACCCTTGTAAAGTAAGACTTTAAAAATAGCTTTTGCATTAAGGGAGCAACCTGCTTTAGAGGGGATTTCGTGCTGGAAATAAACGTAGGTAATACAGGGCTGTCTTAACTTATGAGCCTGCTGAAGCAGTACCGTGACCTTCGTGAATAAATCTTCTTCCAGTTGGCCGTGGCAATACCCAGGGGGTCACCACAGCCGACTGTATCATGGCCTTGAAGCGAAATCAGTTTCGGAAGGTCAAGTGATCGAAATAGTCGATTTCTTTCTCTTTACCATAATCCCGGAGTTAAACTTTACCGAAAATAGTAGTTTGTATTAAAATAAATATAAGTAAAATTAATAAACGTGAGTAGGTCTAATATTAACATTAAATTTTTCATAGTGCAATATTTTTACAGGCGGTAAAAATGCATATCTTCAATAATTTTTTAAACAATTTGTACTTCGTTTATGTAACTAAAAAATATCATTGAGAATCACCTCATGCGAACTTTATTTATGTAATTTTGATAAAAATGAAATTCATTTATGTAATCTGAATCAAATTTATTGCCAAAATAATATAAAATCCACATAAGGGGGGAATTCAATAGATTTATGGATGCAAATTTTAGATTTTCATACTAAAATAAATATTAAGGGAAGAATTATTTTGTAAAACTCCATGCCGCTACCATCGCATCAGCTATATAAATTTTTAAAAGTCAAATACCCATAGTCATCTCTCTTCACTCCATTCACTAATAAAATCTGCATATCTCAATTTTATCAAAACAGGAAAATGAATTAAAATTCCTTAAATGCTAGAAAATTTGAATATAAAGATGAAATTACATGCACGTTATACTATAAATAAATCTTTAAAGATAATTTCAAAGAGCTAATTGCATTCATAAAAAAGGATAGCCATCTATTTGTACCAGTTCCAACTTTATGTTGAATCACTTTTTCCAAAGCATCCAAGAGATAAGTGATTAGGCTTGGTTTTTTTAAAGTGATTTCCCCGAATTACAGGCCTATACCACTATTAAAATTAAATTCATAAAACTTGGAGCTGTGTACCATATACATACTCGCATGCTACATATTATAATCTATGCAGAAACAAAGCATAAATCAAAAAAATTTGAGTTATTAACTGAAATTAATTAATTTTTTAACATTTTTATATGAACATTTTATATTGAACATTTTATATTGATTTTGTCATTTTTATATTTTGTATAATTATTTAACATTATTTTACAAGTTATCAAACATGTTTTCTAACAGAGTTTGTAAAGTCATTCCACAAGTGCAAGAATCTGTTAAAGTAACTGTATAGTGTACTAACCGTATGCAAGATAACTTATATAAAATATCCATTTGCTTTCCTGACATAAGAAATGTGTTTTCCATGTTTTTAAGAATTTCACCAAATAAGAAATATACAATTGAAGATTTTAATAGAGTAACTTCAGATGGAAAACTTTTAATTTCCCCCTTATCTAATTCTTTAAGAAAACCAAAAATATCATCTGCTGTATCTACTGAATGAATACTTTGCAAACCAGTCCTGGCAAATATTGCATTTTATCACCCTTAATTTTTTCATGGCATCATAACCTGAAACATAAACTAGCACTGCTAAAATATCAGAAAAAACATTTTTCTATAAAAAAATCATTAATAAGTAAATTTGAATAATTAATATTCGCAAAAGTAAAGATAGAATCCTTATCATAATCTGGTAAAAGAGACATTCATATTTGATGATGAAATTATAAAACGAAGCTTCTCATTTTCTAATTGTAGGTCATTTATTTAATAATCTGAACCTGACATTTGCCGATACATTTCAAAACGTGATTCAGGAACATCAGTTTGAAATTTTCCTAACAATATGTATTCAGCTTCATACTTTTGAAACAAACATGGAATCAATTGAATGAATGCATCTATGGTTGTTATTAATGCCTGAAATGTTTGTGGTGATAAAGTTTATTTTATTGGGACAGAATGTCAAAATATGCCATTAGAAAGTAATCAAAATAAGGAATTCCTAATGTACTATTCCAAACAAATATTCAAAACAACACTATGCGAAAAGTCCAACTAATGTATTCGATGTTATGTTAAAACGAAATTACTTGAATAGGATTGAGAACAGCTACAAATTTTCCCAAATCTAAAAATTAAAAAAGTATAAAACAAAGTATATATAAAAATATTTACCTTAGCGTAAGTGATTTAAAATCACTTAATAGCAAAATATACATCTAAAAAATCCGCCACCACGGATTCACAGCCATACACTACCACAACCACATCGACCATCTCGATCACGTGACTTTTGCGCTTCAAGGCCATTATAGAGTTGGCTGTGGGGGGGGGGGGTCACAAGCGTAAAGGGTCCGTATTCTTATCCATCTACGATTGTTTTATTCGAGGGCCAGCAAATTGGTGTACCCAGAGGCTCAACACTGTTAAGACGGCACTGGTTTATTTCTATATTAAAAAAAAATCTTTCAGTTCAGCCATTTACTTACGTAAACATCTGAAATTTCTTTCGCCATTTATACTTAATGTAGAGCATTCAGAGTCGTTTAAAACTCAATTTATATTGATCACAATTTAATTCTTTTTATTGCAGGTGTGACTGTCTTCATCTTGTATTGAAGTACTTGAAATGTTCGATGCGAGCTCATCTTTGACGATTTTAGATTTATATTCTTCGTGAAATATTTTATATTATAAATATTACCAACCTTTTAAATGGAAATTTTAGACTTGAAATGAAACTGCTTTATTTTATTGGTTTTGTTGTCTGTTTTCGTACATATATACACGCCAGAATACATAATTACCAAGCTTGCTCGTCGGATTTAATTCATTTTTGTTTTCAATAAAATCATTCGTTTTTTACAATCATTGCTTGAATTTTACTTCATTCGAACGAAACTGATTAGAAGAATGTTTGAAAAAATAAACTATTCTTCATTGAATACAATTATCCACATAAAATTTAACTGCAGCACCCCTGCGTATTTAAAAAATGAACTTTTGCCTTTAAATTTTCTTGCATATACAAAAATTTGAACAGACTAAATAAGTATCTTAAATACGCGCGACACGAGCACATCCCGCCATCTACCGGACATCTACCGAATTTTGATACGGTTTCTTAAACAGAAGAAAACTTTAGTATTTTAAAAACTAATTCAAGGGTTTCTTAACCAGAAGAAAAACTTTCGTATTTTAAAAACTAATTCAAGGCATTATACAACTTAAAGGCCGAGCAAATTTCGAGTAGTGGTTCACTAGTTCCGCTGCAGTTCGTTGGACCCCCTTAGAGGTTCCAGCTCTCGAAATTCATATCTTATTCAAATTTTAATGGTCGGAAGTGGAACGCATCGTCTTGTTTAACCAAGAACTTCCGAAACTATGCTCACTTGATAATTGTTATGAGTACTTAAGCTACATGTAAATGAGAAATATTTAATGTTAATTATGTTTAGCTTTACGTACGTTAAGTTTAACTGGTAGAATCGAAGTATTATCATGGCGTTTAATTTTCTGTTGTATTTCTTTAAACTATTAACAAATACCCTCAAGTAATTTAGACACAATAACACGCCCTCAAGTAGCCAAGCTGTAAAGTCTATGCTGCCCACTGGTAGTTCGACTTTGGTTTTATTCAAAGCCGGATTAAGACTATTGAAGCCTCTAAGACTTTATAAGAATTTGGTGGGTGCTAATGCCAGTTTTACCTTCTCTTGTTTTGACTTAGCTTCACCATGCACTCCGTGGTTAAACTGGTGATGGAACATTTTGTGGAGCCCTTTTCTTGATATTCTAAGCCCGTGCTAATATTACTTAAGAGTTAATTCAGCGTACTTTCGGTTCCAGAAGAACGGGCTGGCTGTATGGCCGTTTTCGTGAATTTAGTCATATGTAACTTAAACACGGGCCATATCCCCTTAAAAAAATCTCCACGAATACATCCCTTCCTTAGTCACATAGTCCTCACGCGCTTTATCATAAGTAATAAATCAAGCTAATAACAATTTATAGTTGCATAATTACTTGACACATCCTAAACTCTAAAAATGACGTTAATAGTTTTCTTTCGTATTGTTGAGCATCCTTATTCAAAGTAAGGACTTCTAACAGCCTTTTCCCAAGTAAATATTAAATTTTGCTTTGCATCAGAAACTACTTAATGAGGGTTTGCGACTATTTAATTTTTTCCCCAAATGTCTTCTATTCTTAGAGGCTCGCCTAAATCTAATTTAAAATCTGTGCTTACATTTTTATAGTCTAGCAACATGATTTTGTGCTTGGATTAGCATATCTTAGATTAACGACCTAGCATGTTAGTAATAGTTCCATTTTATTTTTAAATGAATACAAGAAATAAGTTCAGCAAATTATGCCATCAAAATGGTACGACTATAGCTATTACTAGCTCACTTTAAGCCACTATGATGCTTCATTCACTAGACTCTATTCTAACTACAATCCTAACTGTAGACAATTTAGTTTAACTATAGAATACTAACCTGTGTAAATTTTACATAACAATGAAATGAGTGCTCAAAGGATCGCGAAAATCTTCTTGTTAATCTTTTAAAAGAAAGTATGCTTATTGTCCTGAATGTAAAAAGCCAGTATGCGGCGACAGGGCTTAATTTCAAAAAGTAGAAGTGACGGAGCCCTATGGAAGACCATCAGCAAAGAGGAACAAGAGTAAATAAAATGATTAAAATCATTAATTTTAAAATTGAATAGTTAGACTATCAAAATGGTTAATAATTATTTAATTGATATTAATGACTTGTTATTTAATTTAGACTTTAACCTGTTTTTTTTTAAAGATGTCAGCTTTTATCATAGATTGTAATCTGTCTCCTTTTACCCAAGCTGGAAGTTTTTACAAATGACTAATTGCATTGTTACCATTTGTCTGGCGCAGATAACCTTGACAGGTTTTTGTGCCAAATTACAATAATCCAATCCTATTTAATTATTCATAATTAAATAATCCTATTATTTAATTATTCATAATAAATTTATTTAAATAATTAAAGTAATTAAAACATTAAAATTGAATAAATGTAAAGAGAAAATTTAATAAACGATCTTTTATATAATTTTATTGCTAAAAATAAATCTTCAGATCAAATTTCCACTGCAATAATTTTTACGTTACATTAAAAAAAGTGCCGGAGCTCCGACTGGAATTAGAATATCTCCCAAAAACTAAGATACCTGACCTCCGGCGCAATTTAAGTTCTGTGCGGCGACCATCAGCAGAAATTCTGTTTGACTTGCGGCAATACATTAGTGTAATTTTCATTGTTATATTTCTTTTTACTCATTAAGTATGTTTAATTGCTGAATTTGATCACAAGAAGTGGTCAATAATTTTTTTGAGTAGAATTTAACTATGCTCATATGCGAGAATTGTTTTTAAATACACTGAATAAATTTTATGAATGGTTAGTATTAATGTACTAAATGTAAGGGTTGGTATTCTAGGGCTAAGGCCTATAGTTAGGTGCAAGCCATTATGTGGCATTATTTTCTCAACTGTTCGTTATAGATATCTACTTCATTATTTTAACGACAAATTGTTACGGTGTTTTTTAAATCATAATTTAAGCCAACCATTTGTGGCAAATTTCTATTGCCTTGTTCGATACTTCCAAGATATTTACGCACAAATTGTTCGTCCCCTTAATCCAATGCTCCTCCCTTAATATTCATATTTTCTTTTAAATAAAGGATTAAAATTATTGTTTGGAGTCTTCGTAAGTTTGATCTTGCGAGATGTTTACCAAAAGTATTTTCTGGTTTAAATGGTTAGTAATGTACTAAATGTAAGGGTTGGTATTCTAGGGCTAAGGCCTATAGTTAGTTGCAAGCCATTATGTGGCATTATTTTCTCAACTGTTCGTTATAGATATATACTTCCAATTATTTTAAACGACAAATTTGTTACGGTGTTTTTTAAATTAGCGCAAGTCTAAATTTTTATGCAGTCCCTGGTCCCTCCAGTTATAGTATTTGGTAAGTTTGTGCTCGTTATAAAAGCATATTGTATTTTCGTACAGAAAAGGGAAAACTGACCGAAGTACTTCAAGTTTGAGATCATGCGTAGGAGCTGCACGTAACATAAAGGAGATGTTTAAATTTTTAAGTTTGGGGAAATTCTTCTACTGTTGGAAATTCTTTGAATGAGATGCTGCACACCGAATTTAAAGTAGACTAAGTTCTAAATCTGGCATTTATTCGCTTGTTTAAACAACGTTAAAAGAATACTGAACAATTGATAAATCTCAATTACACAATCTCAAATGCAATTTATGTTATGAATATGTAATGAATTTTGAAACGTTAATGGGAACAAGCGACATCCAACGCGAAGTGCAATTTCCTTAAAACTATGCAAGAATTTTAATACTATATTGTTTCATCCAATCATCCAACCGTCACGCAGATCATTAGATGTTGCTATTGAACAGGAAATGATTTTAGTTCGTTACGTAAAGGAATAAATACTTGAAGTAAACTAGATTTAGAAAAATATTCACATTTTTGTACGAAAGGGACATCAACACCAAACCAGATAGGAACTTTCCATTTTTCAGATATTTTTCCTCTAAACGCAGATCATGTTTACTAAATAAATCGAAAGTGCATATTTGTGTTGAAAATTGTTTGAATGAAAATTGTGAAACAAAGGCTTCTTTTTCCACCTAATTATGATAAATGTGTGAAATAATCCAGTCTTTTGCCCGCTTTGTTTCATGGTTTTCCTTTCGACAGGACTTGTAACTTTTCAGAGGGAAAAGGTTGCTCGCATAATTAGCAATTAAATTCCAGAAGCTTATGAAAATTTCGACATAAATGTCATTAATTACTTCTGTTTGCGAACTGAGCAGAATATTTCTCATTAACAGAAATTCAAAAAATTCCTTATCTATACGCAAGTGCCAACTTTTATGTTCATGTATATTGCTCAGATTTCCTGAACGCGGGTAATATTTGTGGACTTTTTAACCCTTGATCATATAACGACTTTTTAATCTTGATAATTTGGAAGTTATATAAACTTATAGCGGTACTGTGGGCATATTTTAATTTTTAACAGAAACGTCATATTTTCTGGAAATGATTTTTGAGCTTTAATAAAATTTCATTACAAATGACAGTGTGCTCAAGCAATTTTCAGTGTTTAATTGCGGCACATAAGAAACCTAGTATTAAATTTCCATAACAATGTATCTTATCAAATAAAACTGATTTTTAATGAAATTAAACATAGTTGGACTTATTTTCCAGTACATGAAGTTTTAGCATGCAATTCTAGTCACTTTAATTATTAAAACTGCTATGGAGACTTCGAATTTTCCGTGAAATTTTTGCGGTAGCTAAATACTTTGAATAACATAATCTGGTATTTTGTAGTCGTTGCACTGTTCTTTAAAGCAATGCGTCTGATGAAATTATAGCCCTAAATGTTTTAATTTTCCAATAGGGAATATCAAAGCCATTGATTTTAGCATTTCTTTCTTACTTGTTGCCGTCCATAACTTAAATGAAAATTCGGCTAGTAACGAAACACTGCTTAGGGTAATATAAATGGAGCGATACACTCGAAGCCTGTATAAGGTTATTAAAATAACGGGTAGTCCAAATTCTATGAAGCGCACGGGAACATTAAATTTGTTTGCATCTGAAATCGCGTAATGCAAAAGATGAAATGAGTTGAATGGCTCACTGCCTATCTCAAATCCTTGAGGGATCTT